TTACAAAATATTGAATTTTCAAGTGAACAACCTAAATGAGCTAGAAATTAAGATTTGCGCAAAAATGCCAATACAGTAAATATAAACTTATTAAATAAATAAAGTGATTGGTAAATATTATTATAACTGGAAATTACAAATGCATTTTTCTCATTTCTATAAATATTAAGCGAATGATTTATCTTAACGATCTAATTCTTGTATAAGCTATTCAAGCTCATGGATATTTACTAATATACCAACTTATTCATGTTGATTTAGTGAGATCCACTATATTACAGTCATTATACCTACCACAACCATTACACCTATTACACCAACCTTCCAACTTCGCTAAACCTATAACTGTTATCTACAATATTCTACAATATTGTGGAATTATGGCAGAAGCTACAATTTTGATGCAAGAATTTACAGAATTTCAAAAATGTAAATGTTTCATGGGTTGTATAATTGTTAAAATAGTTTATTATTATCAATTCCACGATTCCACAACGTTGTGTAATCACAAATTTGCTTGTAGAATTATTTCGACGTATCACTAATTATAAATTTCTGTAAACAATTATTTGGCTTTTTTAGAATTTAAAAGTGTATAATGAATAAAAAGACTGGATTTAAGTTTTATTTGAAGTCTGCTGAAAGTGGAGATTCTAATAGACAATATAAACTTGGATTCTGTTACGAAAAGGGCATAGGCACAGCTAAGGATGAAAAAAAAGCATTCAGGTGGTACTTGAAATGTGCCGAAAGTAGTAACTCTTTTGGGCAAGATCACCTTGGATTCGGCTGCCGAAATGGCATAGACAGAGCTAAGGATTATCAAAGGCATTTAAGTGGTATTTGAAATCTGCCAAAAATGACAATTCGAATGGACAAAATAATCTTGGAATTTGTTACCGAAATGGTATAGGCATAGCCAAGGATGAAAAAAAAGTATTTATATGGCATTTGAAATCCGCTGAAGGTGGTGATTCGAATGGATAAAATAGCCTTTGATTCTGCTACCGAACTGGCATAGGCATAGGCAAGGATAAAAAGAAGGTATTTGAAATCAGCTGAAGGTGGCAATTCGGATGGACAAAATAGGCTTGGATTCTGCTACCGAAATGGCATAGGCACAGCCAAGGATGAAAAAAAAGGCATTTGAGTGGTATTTGAAATCTACCGAAGGCGGCAATTTGAATGGACAAAATAGCCTTGGATTTTGCTACCGAAATGATATAGGCACAGCTAAGGATAATAGAAAGGCATTTTAGTGGTATTTGAAATCAGCTGAAAGTGGTAATTCCGTTGCATAATACAATCTCGCGTTATATTATGAGAATGGCAAAGGCACACCAAAGGATAAAATAAAAGCGTTTGAATGTTTTTAAGATTAGCAGAAAATTGTTACAACAATGGACAATATAAAGTTGGATTATGTTATCAAAATGGTTATGGAACATTGCCTAACCAGGAAAAGGCTGTTGAATGGCTGCAAAGTACAAAAAAAAATAATATTCAAAAGGCGGTTAATTATGGAAATCTTGATGATTCTTTAAAAAAACTATTAACTTGCAACGGTAATAATTTTTTAATATCGTGGATTCCATTTAATGAATTAGAATTTAGAAAAATTATTGAAAAAAGTGGGTTTGCAACTGTGCATGCCGCTAATTGTAAATACATAAAAACAGATGGTAGCACTCTAAATCGACTTGTTGCACTTAAATTGTTTCATGGATCAAAAAATAGCTGCGAGGAACTCATAAAGGAGGTAACTCAAATTTTTATATTTTAATCATATCGATATTAATAGTTAGTTATTAATAATTATGTATACCTTTATAGTTAATTGCGTATTCAAATATTGGAACTAAAAATCCCACGTTTTTACAATGCCATGGTATATCAAAAGATAAAGATACGGATAAATATATTTTAGTTATGCAATATGCAAGAATGGGATCTTTACGTAAGAATCTTTACGAAGTTGCGCAAATGAAATGGGAGAAAAAATTAGAATTGTTATCAACATTGCATTAGATCTTAAAACGATTCACTTAAATAATATTATTCATTGTGATTTACATAGTGGTAATATTTTTCAAGATAATCTAAATAATGCATATATAGGAGATTTAGGATTTGCAACATCAATTAACAAAACATTGGACAAAGAATCAGGGGGGATTTATGGAGCTTTACCATATATAGCACCAGAAGTATTGCAAGGAAAACCATTCACAAAAGCATCAGATATTTATTCATTTGGAATGATTGTGTGGGAGATTTCTTCAGGAAACGTTGTTTTTTCCGATTATAAATATGATAATTTAAGATTGGCAATAGAAATTCTAGAAGGTTTGAGACCAACTATTATTAAAGGCACAGTACCATGTCACATAAATCTTTTAAAGAGATGTTGGGATAAAGATCCAGAAAAAAGACCGTCAGCTGTAGAAATTCACGAGACTATTTTAAAATGGAAAAATACACCTGAATTTTTAACTGAATTTTTAAAATCTGATAAAGAAATGGAGCTCAGAAATAATGGTTCTGATAATATTGAGAATAGTACGATTCATACTACCAAGTTTATTAGCTATATTAATCAACTTTCACATGAAAGCATAACTTCCAGTGTAAATGAACTTCATTCTAATAATAATATTTGCATATAAACCATTAATAATTGGGTTTGTTAGTAGATGTGATTAAGGTAAAGAGTTAATAAACTATGAAATACATAATTAAATAAACAGTTTTATACTATGTACACTGACGTGGTTTGTAATAGGTTTTCTATATGCTATATTCTATCTATTACCGTTGGCCACTGCTTACGGTCTTACTCAAGAAATGCATTTTTAAAATTGAATAGTATCAGTATTATTCACAAATTCAGCAATCTCTATTATTTTCGGGGGTATTGTAGGCAATGGTCAACGCGTTATTCCTTTAATTGGTTTATTATTTCTTATCTGCATTCCTATTTCTATTGAATAAAATCTAAAACTTCAAGTTTACTTATGACAATGATTTTTAAAGTAACGACAAGGTCAGATTGAAATAAATACTAAATGAGAAAGATTATGATATGAGAGGTGCTATATAGTAAAGTGAATGACTACGGATATTATTACCTTTATGGAATTAAAGACGAAACATAAGGCATTTCTCTATTGTCAAAAACGGGAGATATGGGAAATTATTATTAGCCAAATGGGGAAAGAATAAAAAAGATGTAAATAAAGTATTCTGTTATTATCTAAATATGCAGATATGGAAAATAAGTAAATCGGAAATTATTGTCAAGGTAGAATTTAAGTAGAAAATAAATTATGGTGAAATTAGAAAAAGAAGTGATCCTGGATATTTTGTAAAAAGAAGTTAAAGTTGAATAAGATAATGTAATGCATTCATTCATTATCAAAAATTAACTAGGATGGATGTTGTTATTCAGATCAGAATTTGAATTAACAAGGTTATAGTCATGTTGAAGAAACATACAATTTTATTTAAAGGTTGGAGTTGAATAAAATAAACATAATATTCCATAACAAAGTATCTGTATCAATCCGAAAAATGGACAACTAAATAAAAAATTAGAGCAAGAGAAATATTTTAAAGAACGTGAAAATTCATTCTACAGACGATTATTATGTTTTTTAAAACCCTTCATTGAGGGACGCCGGGAAGCGTATTTGACAATAATTAACTTTAATATTGGTTTACTCAATAAATCATCTTTTCAAAATGTTGAATTTTCAAGTGAACAACTTAAATGAACTAAAATTAAGATTTGTAAAAAATGCCAATACAGTAAATATAAACTTAGTTGCTTAATTAAATAAAGTGACTGGTAAATATTATTATAATTGGAAATTGCAAATGATTTTTTTTTATTTCTGTAAATATTAAACGAAGAATCAATTTACAAATGATTTCATTAAGAATAATGAGAGTATGACATTGTTAAGATGAAAAACACTAATTAATAAAGTGAATTACTATAAGAATTGTGGCAGCTGAAGCTGGAATTGAATGATGCTAAAAATTTTAATTAGGTTTATTATGAAAATTTAAAAGTTTTTGGAGCCTTTTGTGTGGGCTTTTTTTTAGGGTTAGTATTATTAATAAAAGAGTATATATGAATATATATTTAAATGAGGACCCTAAATTTCAGCATCAGTCAATTTCAGCATAAGAATTGTTCTTTAGCATTTACAAAATAGTTCTAAAGTAAACAATAAACTTATGTATACATTTCAATTTCAACATTGGAGTCGCAAAATAATTGGGAGTATTGAAACCCACTTTAGTATAATTAATAATAAAATATTTATAGACAAGCTTGTATTGCATTTCTGGTACTCGCGTACTGAGAACCTAAAATTGCTTTTACCATAAAATAAACAGCGCACGTACATATATAAATGATTGCCATTGGTATGTACGTACGTATTTAAAATTGTCCCAAAAATATATCAATATTATATTTTTGTCAGAATGTAACTTACCAAAAAATATGTAATATTAATGCAAACCTTAGTATTAGTCAAAATAATAATGAATTAGCTTGTGTCTAGATTTGGAAATTTCATAAACGCCAAATTGATTTTAATTGCTCAAAAGTTGTGTTACATTAAAGTCGTATATTGCACAAAAATTGTGTTCTTTTAATTTGTACATTATCACTATAATTTTTAAAATCAAAAATATTCAAAATAGAACACAAATACCTAAATAAATGATAAAGAGAAAATATCGATATAATGTAACAAGAATATTTCTTAATTTGTCCTCATCATTCTTACATCATTTAACTTTCTCACATGTTAATTTAAATAGTGATAATTCATACAAACGAATCTCTATCATAAAACTTCATTTTCTTCTTCGTATCCCTAAAGAATTATATATTTATAAATAGTGATCATATTCGACTTTGATTCATTGTAATTCTTTTTTTTTTCTCATCTACGAACGAACAAATTTTTTGACTAAAAAAAAAGATGTTAAAGTCTTCATTGAATTCGATCAAACACTTTAATTCAATGCTAAATTTCAAGAATGCAAGCACAAACACGAATATATCTGTCTCAAAATTGTCAAGGGCACAATATGGATCAAGGTTTTTTAACACTTCAATTAAAACGGCTGTCTGTTCAACCGTATCTTCCATAAAACCTATACCAGACTTTGATGAAAAAACTATAGAATTAATACGTACACGATTAAGAAATTCTGTTGGTAAAAGTCATGTAAAATTTAAATACGATACAAGTAAAGCTGTTAAAGATGCGGCTGTTTTGATGGTTCAAACATTTTACTTTTTTTTTAATATTTAAATGTGCATGATCTATATAACCCGTTCTAATGCGTGTACTATTTTTTATACGAATAAAAAAGCCATTCTGTGTTGTACAAGGCGAACCAAGCGTTTTATTCACGTTAAGAAGTAATAAACTAAAATCACATAACGGAGAAGTAAGGTATATTATTATAATTATTATTAAATTATTTAATTATGCAAAAAATTTAATCACTTAAATCATTTAATCTACTAGTTTCCCTGGCGGAAAAAAAGAATCCGAAGATCCTTCGCTCGTATTCACAGCTCTTCGCGAGACCACAGAAGAAATTGGTATCCGACCCGAGGATATCGACATATTAGGACAATCAACACCATTACCAAATAAAGATCGAACCTTGAAAATTTATCCTTTTATTGGGTTGATTAAAATTCCTTTTGAAAACGTTAAAAGTGAGATTAATTATAATGAGGAGGAAGTTCAAAAAGTTTTCACTGTAACAATTGAGGAATTATTGAATTCGGAAAAGAAACAATGGAAGAGACTTGGTAATACCGATTTTATGTATCCGGTAAGGGATTTTTTTATAATCAATGTTAGAATAGTAAATACAAGTAACGAAAAAGAACATAATTTTTAAAAATATTATATATATAAATAATTATTTACCATCTTATTTAGGTATTTAAGGCTTCTTCTGAGTCAGAACTAGAAATTTGGGGGTTAACTGCTTTCATATTAGATAGTAAGTTTACTCCATATAACACTTCAAAAAAATATTTTATCGTAATTGATAAAATTTAATTAACGATATTTAAATGATCTGTTTTATTTCGATTAGCAATACTACGAAAGTTGACTACACCACCGTTGACGACAGATATGAAACATCTATAAACGGCTAATGAAATCTGATAGTTTATAAAAGATCAAAATTAGATTAATTAAGAAATGTATTTATTAATATATAATGCCAAATACTTTTAAAGAAAAATACAATTAATTTTGAATAATATTGCAGATATTTTAGATTAATTTATTGTAATTATAATTGTAATAAACTATAAATGACGTTATTCATAATCAGAGCATCTGTAAAATGTATCTACAATTCAATTGAATAATAACTAGGAAACACCAAGTCATCGTCAATTAATTTTCTTAATTGATCAACTATGAATCTTTCCAGTTTTCCAACATTTTTAAGAACTGTCCAAGAAATTAAATATATCCAGGATAAAGAATATTATTATTATTATTATTATTATTGTTATTATTATTATTATAGGCATTGATACCGTGATTTAAATACCTTGTTTCTCTTTATCTCCGATCTCCGATTCAATCTGAACTTCCTTCAAAAGACTATTATAAAGTGATATTTATTAATTTACAAAGTTAATAAAACATAAATCTGTATAAATTAAGTTAATATGCTATATAGAAAATTAATAAATCTTACCTTTCTTCAGAATCTTTCGGTGCAAAAAAGCAAAAATTGACACGTTGTCTCAAACTAGCTATTACAGCCGTAGCTAGAATTTACAAGAAATAGTTTAATAAATATTAAATGTTTTTAATTATCTCATAAAAAATATGTATTAAAATCACCAGAAAATTCAAATCCAGTAACTGCTAGTCTAATTGGCAGACTCATAAACATCATACTAGGATAATTCATGTGCAATTCTGTTGTAATAGTCATCTTCATATTTCCCTTATAATTTATATTTACATGCATTTGTACATCGCTATCTTGTTTTAATGGAACTTCGGGTTCATCTGTTAATTCATCTGATTGTATTGAAGTATCATCTAAATATGAACTATTTACGGATGTATCATCCGTTAAATGTGTACTATTATTGTCAATTGATGAATTATTGGGAAATTCGATGGGTAAATGTTCATAATTATCATTAGCAAATTTAAATTCTACATCAACATTTGCATTATCTGGTAAATAAAATTCTAGAAAAGGATCCGTAACGTTAACTATTTCTATTGAAGGTGGTATAGTACCAAAACTAAAGTCGGAAATTTCTATATCTCCAATAAATGATGGTTTATTACTTGAATTCCGAAAATATTCATTTAACAAATCTTGAAATTTGTTTGCTAAATCTTTGTCTAACTTTTCCCAAAATATATCGAATGACATTTTTTTTTTCTGATGATAATGTGTTGATGTTATTGTTATCGTTATAGAGTGTAAATTGCGATTTACAGTTACCTCATTATTTATATACCGTTCTCTGTTACACGAAATATCACATCAGTCTTTCGTCAGATGTCAGTTTATAATGATCATTTAACAGTTAAGCTAAACTATAGCCTAACTCTAACCCAACCTAAAAAGCTTGCTAAAAAAAATTTGCTGTTAGATTAGGATTAGATTTTGCTATTAAGTTGGGTTAGGAAGCCTTAATAATCCCAAAATTTCGCAAGGAAAACTGGTTTGTTAATGCGCAGGTGTTTTTTTTGATTTTTTTTCTGCGTCACACCTGATCTTGAAATTTGGCCAGCTAACGTTAGGACAGTTCCCCTCATGGGCAGACATTCATATGGGCTAGGTGCTGGAAAAAGGGCCGAAAATGACAAAAAAAAAGATCTTTGGAAAATCAATTTTTATATTATATATAAATCTTATAATAAATTATAAGAAAATGCAAACTTTAAAGAGCTATACTGCAAAACTTTATTAATACAACTACTTTCATAGCTTAAGTAAAAAATGATCCTAATTTAATTCTAAATTGATTTATGTAAAAAAAAACTCTTAAAAAAATTGTTATTTTCGGCCCTTTTTCTAGCACCTAGCCCATATGATTGGCTAATTTTTGTGGATCTATCCGTATTTTTTGTGATAATTAACCAATCAAAAATTTATTATTCCAATGATTAAATTAAAAATTTACGATTTATGCAATATACTGTAATTATTATGTAGTAAATAAAATTTTATTTAAATAAATAATATAGGTTATATCATCACTTCTTTTTTTCTCTTAAGCAGTCATGCTAGTACTTTATTAAAATTCTTGAAACTATTTTTGCAATTATATAGAAATACCTAACAACAAAGTTTATTATTATCTAGTCACTCTAATGGTACCTAAATGCAACTTGTTGCATTACTTTAAACAGAAGTAGATTGTTTGTCTAATTGCTTAAAGTTTATAATAAAAAGGTCTGCTTCTTTTTATAACAAGTTTCAATATTATTTTCTTAGTTTTTTTTTCAAATTTTTTTTTTCTTTTATTTCTTTTTCTCTTTTATCTCTTGCTAATTTGTTTTTTTTTTTTTACTTAAGTTCTTTATCTTTTGTGTTTGTCTCTTTATTTTGCTTATTATTTCTTTTTCTTTTTCTCATTTATTAATCTTTTTATATTATATTTTTTAAACTTGTTTATAAAAATGTTTTATATTGTTTTTATTACTGTATTTCCAAACTGTTATCTTGATTTTATACTTAGAAATTGTATTAATTTGTTTTGTATTTTTTGAAATTAGATCTTTAATTAATATTTTTTTATTTCTATTTTTCTGTTTTTATATTTCAGAAAAGTATTATATATAGTATATATGAAAGGATTTAAGTTTTTTTTATTTAAATTTTTTTATATTATTGTTATTTTTATTTTTTAAATTCTTTTCTGAAGATTTGTTTTCTCTTATACAATATCAAATATGATTATATTTCTTTATTTTATCTTAACATATTTAGCATTTTGTTGTTATATATATATCTGATTTTCTTTTTTAAGTTTCTTTAAAATAGAAGTTTATTAATTATGTATTTTATAAATATGTTTTTTTTTATATTGTTTCTTCTTGTTATACAATATATTTCTTTAATTGTCTTTAGTCTTTTTCAAAATTATATTTAATTATAAATTGTAATTTCTGTTTCTAGTTTTAAGTTTTTAATTAGTCTTTATTTCATTTTATTTCTAATTTAATATTTATTATTAGTTTATATAAAAGTTTTGCTAGTATATTTGTTTATCTGTTTTTTTATTTCAAACATTATTCTATTACTTTATAACTAATTTCTTCTATATATATTATTTTTTTATTTATTATTTCTTTTTTTATCAGACTATTAGTTCTGTTATTTTATTTGTTTTTACTATAGTTTTTTATTTTTATTAACTCTTTATATATTTTTGTCTTAATAATATTAATAATCTTTATTATTTATATTATAGTTTTTTTTTTAAGAAACTTATTTTTGTTTATATATTCTAAATCTCTACTAATATTTTTTATTACAATATTATTTTCTATATATATATTTAATTGCTTTTCTTTTGATATTATTAAAATTACTACTTATATATATATATTTTCCCTTTACTTAAGCAGTCTTGCTAGTCACCTTTATTATATATTTTTGTATTATATATATACAAATTAGTTCATAAATTCTGGCCCAACATTCTGCAAGTGCTTCTATGAGTCTTTACGAGCAATCTGCTTGCACTGACTGTCTTATTTCAAAAGAAATTAAAGATATTAAGGGCTGCATTTGACTACCACTTTACAATAGGATATTGCTAATCTGATAACATTTTCTTATAGAAAAGTAAACAAAAACAAAAAAAACTTATATATAAAAAAAAAAACACAGAGGTATAGAGGTAAATGATAAAAGATACAAATATAAGAAATAAAAAAAGTAAAGGTAAGAAGTGAGAGTGTGGCAACTTAGTGAAGTGAATAAGTTGTTATACCCCCAAGTGGTAGGTTGTGAGTTCAAAACTCATCGATGGCGAAATTTGGATAATCACCTATGTAATATATAGACAGTATTATGGCGACGGCATTCTGTTGATCAGTTGGGATAGGATACCTGTAACTATAGTCACACCAGCATGACTGGCAGGTCTGGGGCATCTGTGTAACTTGTTATACAGAGGAATACAAACTGGTACCAGGCAGTACAAACCTAAAATAAGTCCTCAGGCCGTGTAAATCTGTAGAACTGAGAAGCTAGAGCCCACTTGGAAATTCTGAGCAGAGAGGTAACACAAATCTTCGATGGTACTACTGTAAAGACTAGACCTAGAAAATGGATACCAATATGAAGGATTTGGGCAGGCAAGAACCTCAGGTGAGAGGTACCACCAACCAGACTACCAGATTTCAGACCAGAAAAAAAGGATATTGGACCAGTCTTAATATACCAAGAACAGGTCACAGTCCTACTGGACTATCTGGATTGGGAGTCTGGGTTCAAAGCAGAGGTATACTAAAAGTACTAGGAATATGCTGTGAAGTCAGTATTGAGGTCTGGGTGAACTCTGTAAGGGTAGCCTGTATTGGTGTTCTAAAAATAGGTAGATAGTTAACAACAGGGGCCTCCTGCATCTTACTGGCAGATGATGTATTCTAAAATGTGTAACAGCCTGGGAACCAGTACAAAAAGGGTAGATACCATACTGTTCAGACAGTATATCAGGTAAGTATATACGAGAGGTTAGTTGAGGATTCCAATATAACAGAGCAGATGATCAAAGGGTTTAAATGGATAATCTTCTAGTAGGTTATAGGTATGGAATCTAGTATAGAACCTTAGAATGGACTACTTAAATAAGCAACCAAAAGTTGCATGCATAACTAGCTGTACTCTCATCTCTGTAAAAATAGTTGTAATAACTAACCCGATATAAAGTCAATAAAGTATCACCACAAGTATGGTCTTAGCAAAAAAAAAAAAAAAAGATAAAAAGTGAGAAACAAAAGAAAAAATATGTGCAACTCTTACCACATAACTATCAGATAGTCACAATTAGTTTTTTTTTTTTTTATAGTTAAAGTCTTTATCTTAAAAGATGCAATATTTTTATTCAAGTATATTAGAATACAGCATGCTACTAAGGGCTCACCTTATATTGAAGATTACAACTAGCCACATATGCACTTTTGGTGTCTAATTTAAGTAGTCCGCTTACATATCACTATATAAGTTCTATACTAGTTGCCATACCTACAAGCCAATTAGGGGTCTTGCCTATTTAAATCCTTTACATATGCAGTCCTTTTTGTATTATAAAAACATCTTAAAATGCCACTTATTCAAGTTCCTAATGCTTATCGTTATTCTTAGAACTACTTTATCCTTGATAGAAAACTTACTAGAGCCTTTATATCCTACACATATAAACCTAGTTTTATGCAACATGCTATAGTTATCTAACACTTGTAGTCACAGAGATTACCTGTTTAACCACTATATTATACTATTTCTACCTTTGTAAAGTTCATTAGAACCCCAGTACCTATCTTTCCAATATCTTCTCTATCTTCCCTTACTAGTCACAATTCAGAACTATTAGTCTCATTTCAGACTACCAATTCAGATGGCCTGATATAGTATACTTCTATATCCTTTTTCTTCAGTGAACCTGATAGCCTGGTTGGTTATGTGCTCTTCTACACATATTTGCTATCTGGTTTTAATCTTCAGTTTCTATAAAGGTGTTTTGTGGGCTTCAACTAGTTCAATAGTACTGTCAAAAGTTCATGCTACCTCTTTACTCAGGAATTTTCAAGTGGGTTTCTGTCATCTCAGTTTCTTAGTCTTCTATGTCTGGTGGTCTTATCATGGGTTTGCACTGAAGTCTTATGCAACACTGGTTAACATTTCTCTATATACATATAATATTACATTTCACATAGATGTTTGAGTTTCCAAAGTCAGAGAGACCCAACCTGATATATCTGGGTAACAGCCACATAAGGCCAACTGATCGACAGAAAACAGACCATAATACAGATATAATTTTCAAATTTCATCATAGATAGGATTTGAACCTTAGACTTGCCACTTGGAAAATGACAATCCAACCATTATACTAGAATTACCATCCTTATAAATGGTCACAATTATAAGCCTGTGTCAGGCTTTTAAAAATTATAAATTATACTAAATAGAAATAACTCTACTATTTTTCTATCTACTAGAATATTTAACAAAAACCATATAGGATAAAGCTTCAACTAGAATATAGAAAGTCGGCATGAGTACTGGTTAGTCCAAGAACAGTATTTTATAAAGTTTTATCAGTTTGAGGCATATGTATGAGTCATGTTTGTATTGCTGTATTGTTTACACAATTCTGATTAGAAAGTAAATACTACTAACTGTTTTGGTGTTTTATGTGTCAATCTTTTGAAGAAGGTAAACTAAATCACCCACTTTTTACAAAATTTTTCTTAAAAAAAAGAAAAGGTATGAGATGAACCAAACTATAGTTTTTGTGAATACTTAATTCTTCTAAGAGTTCTTTATAGGTTTTATAGTTGTATAGAACTAATATATCTAATACTGTTGTTTACTTTATAAAAGACTTTTGACTTTTATTAACTACTTCTTTTATGGTTTCAGAGCTTCTTTAAACTGTCATCACAAAGTGATAGCTTCTTTTTTAACTCTATTTCAATGCCTATTATGCATGCCCAGTGCTTCAGAAAAGTTTTTATAAAGTTTAATATATTAACTATATCATTTTTCTGTAGTTTAGCATTTTGGAAAGTTTGGTCAAATAATCAAATTTGCATGTAAATTGATTACTATCAAATCTATTTAAATTGATAATAATTGATTTATTCCTAATTTTTTTATAACTATTTTTTTTTTTAAATTCTTTTTTGTCTTTTAAAAACTAGTGTTTGTAGTTGATCAAAATTTATCAACTTAACTAAATCAATATTTAAAAATCGGCTTAGTTAGCTATAATCAACTATGATCAGATTTACTATCCTGATTGGTTAAATAAAAAACAGATGATAATAGATAGATCTAATTGGTTAGTAGTAATACATATTGTGCAAAATCTTCATAGGAAGAAGTTCATCTGATTGCCTAATATAAATCAATTGCCCAAGTAATTTATTTATATACTTTAAAATACTTTTTAGTAGCATAATGTTTTATAAACAAAAAGTCATTACAAAAACCATTCATAGCATAAGAATAGTTCTAGTATTCACTATGCAAAAGAATTCAAAAAAGATTCTTTTTTCTATGGACTTTGCTTAGAAGACAAAATATACTAACTGTTTATTAGACAATCTCAAATTATATTAAAATGAAGATAAGTAAGAACATTTTTGTTTAAGACAGCCTTATTATATTAGATTTGAAAAACTTTTTTTTACTAACTATTGAATTTGAACAAGAATAAGTTTATTGTAAAAGAAGTTTTGGGTTTAATATTTGAATATGCTTGGTTTTTGTATTGTGTTTTGGTCTATTAATCATAATAAGTTTTGGTTTATAGATTGTAGATTATATGATGTGTTTGGGTTTATTAATAATAAATATCATCTTTACTTTACTTTATATGTATTAATCTATCTTATATATATTTGAAATAAATTAATTCTTTCATATATTTATTAATTTATAAACTTTTTCATATGAAGTTTCTTTTGATGGCACTTATTTAATATTAAAGCAATAAAATTTTAAATTATGTAATTTGATTGGGTAGATCTATAAAAATTAACTGATCAAATGAACTTCTTTCTATAAGCAAAATCTGAACTCTGATTACTAAATAATAATCTATTTTCAAGATCTACTTTTAATTTTAATTGATGTTACAAATTTGTAAAAAAAATAGAATGTTAATCCTAATCATGGTTACCTAATATTTTAACAGTTATATTTTTAGATACTGCAAGAAAAAAACCTATATATCTTACAAAATTTAAAGGTTTTCTTTTGGTAGTACTTATTTATACAATAGTTTTCATTTACAATCTGAGATATACATTAATAATTTTAGAATTTTTTTTTTAAGAATAATAGATCATGAACTGTATTAGGATTTAAATAGTTATGCTTGTCTGTTATAGTATTATCCATATCAGAAAATAACCTCTCAGAAGGTACTGAAGTTGCAGTTATGTCTAGAAAGATTCATGCTTGTTCTGCAAGAAGATGTAATGTGCTTTTATGTTTATTCCACCACTTCAAAGGGTTATGTTTCTCATAAAGCAGGTTTTTTGAATTATATTTAGGAATTTCTGAAATTGAATATGTTTGAAGCTTAATGTCAACAGATGAAAAGGAAGAGGGTTCAACACCATCATCAAAGAAAGAAGCCATATCTGTCATTAGAACTTGATTAATAATAGGTATGCCACTTTTTTGTTGAGAAAATTTAATTTTTTTACATAATTCTTGCATAACTTCTTGTTGTACTATATATGATGTTGTTGATAATGACTTAAAACAGGTGTCAAAAAATGTAGCAAGTCATCCTACCATTTTTGAATTTTTCTATCTGAATGCCATAAACATATGAAGAATTTGGTATATTTTAATAATGGAAGGATATGTAAGTGTATTTTCAATTTAATCTAAATTTTTAAAAAGGTGTCTTATGATCAAATACATTATACCCAGTATCAGGTATTAATTACCACCTATGAATGTTAATGCTTATGCAAAAGGATACAATAATTGGCACAGTTCTTTTAGTCCTTTCCATTTTTCATCTAATAACATTTTTTCTTTTAGATTATTGTCATCAGCACGAACTGTATGATCTGAATTGTTAACTAAATATATAACCAATTCTACAACTGAATCTTAGAGTTCAAAAAGCAGCTTAAGAACAAAGTAAGTGGAATTCCACCTGGTGGCAGTGTCACTTGATATAGGCTCTAAGATACATATATTTACAGTAGGCTGATTTGTATTTTTTTTTTCAATTACCTTACATTGAATTTTTTGAAATTGTGATCTGTATTAAGGTTGTAAAATTAACGTAATTTTATATAATTATTTTGCAGTAAGTCTCAGTAAATTAGTTTTTATGTAATTTATAATTTGAATATATAGTGCAATAAAAATTATATAAAATTTAATTTACTGAAGCTTATGTAAAATTACATATCTTGTAAGATTGAAACTTTCATAACATATCTCATCTGTATTTATTATAATTCACTAAAAAATTATTTAATGATTTTGCACATTTAATCAAAGTTTCACTTTTTTTCAAACCATTAGTGACTACAAGATAAATCGTATAGGCTGTACAACCAAGGTGTGTAATATCTAATTGCTGGAATGCCATTTCCATAGATGATGCATTATCAGTTATCATAGCACTAATTTTATCAAATATTTCCTATTTTGCAAGAACTCTTTGTATAAAATCCTCGATTCTATCTTCTGTATGTGAGTAGATGAAATGCTCGATTGTAATAAAGGATTGATATATTGTGAAGCCTTCTGAAAGCCAGTGAGCAGTTATACTAATATATGAAACATGATTTTGTATCTATAAATCAGTAGTTATACAAGCAGTGATCATCATTTGGTTTATCATTTACTTTAACATATTATTGATATAAATTACTAATTCCTTTATTACATTTTTAACTATGTTAGTATAGAGGATCTCAAACTATCAATTAATTTCATAACAGAAGTCTCAAAACTGATCACTATTTATACAGTCCAAGGGAATTATCACTTCAATTAGCCAGGTGACCAACTGGCATGTAATACAACTTTGTTAATTTTCTAAAAGAGGCAAATTACTTTTTTTCTGCTTTTGGAATATCGTATCGATTGTTGGTTAATCAATTGTTAATGTAGATAGTTGTGATTTTCATTTTTTAGTTTTAAAAATTTGATGTTCAGTGTGTAAATGTGTGGCTATACTAGTAGTTGATGTTGTAGGCATAAATACTATTGAGCAGCATTCAGAAGTACTATTACCCTTATCTATGTGGACTATGCAATGCTTTTTTTAGTTAACCTGTTTCAGCAAGTATATTTCTATACCCAGCTTTTTTCTGATTTTTTTTCTATTTACATTTTTTGTTTTGATTTTGATTTTGTAGAAGTTTCACTTTAAGGAAAGTAAGAGGTAATAGAAATGATTAAACTGCAGTATTTTTATCATTTTTAGCAAAATTATTGTTATTTTTATTTAAACTATTATCTTCATTTGAATTGGTGTCATTATCTAACACATTATCATCTAAATTGTTATATCTATTATCAGGACTATAAGTTTCTTTAAACTCATTATATGGACTATTCCAATTAACAAATTCATTGTCAAATGTTTGATCATTATACATTTTTATTACTTATTAGGTATGTATAAATCTTTTTGAGAATAGAATTCTATTAAATTTTGTAATTAAATTGCAGCAATGCAAAAATTTTAAGACATTAAATAAAGATTTTTTATTATATATTACATAGTGTACCATAATATTATCCATTGCACTTAATTAATATACAAGTTGAATATGCTTGAATAATTGTGTTAAATTTTTACTATTGTTTTATTTTTATACACTTATTGCTATTATATTCATTTAGAGATTAAATTCAATATGTAAAAATAAAACTTCAGGCTTTCAAGTTTATTATCTATTCTTTATCGAATTTAGTCTACAAAAAATCTGATTATATATGTTTTTAGTAGGGCTGAATTTAATAAATAATAAATAACAAAATTGAAAGCCCAAAGTCTTATTCCCCTGCCAACATTTATATTAGAGCAAAAAAAAGTAAATGCATATAATTACATATCTCTATTATATTGTGTCTATAGAACATAAATAGAAGAATTGTTTAAACAAATTTTAGATAAAGATTTTGCATATTTGCTCTAAACTTGGAAATAGAATCTATTGTAATGACTAGTTAAGAAACAAGTACAAATTTAACCCCAAAAATATTTGGTTGTAAAGGCATAGCATTACAGCTGTTTTTATAAATTCTGAGACAATTAATAAAAATTGATCTACTGAATTTAATAAGTTTTTGAATTTGGTATTATCAAATTACTGTAATGCCAAAAATCCAATTCTGATAACACTAAATTTAAAAACTTATTAAATTTAGCAAATCAATTTTTATCAATTGTCCTAGAATTTGAGAATAGCTGTAATATAAAATAATATTCTGAATATAATTAATGAATAAAAATATGATCAACTCTTTTAAAGTTTCTATTTTTGATATAGTGTCCTGAAACATTATTTCTAAAATAATAAACTAATAGAGAACATAAATTCATAACTGATTGGCTAGATATAAATATTAATAATTATTATCACATAGTGAATTAAGATCATTCATTATACAATTAAAGGGCAGAATATTATCATATTATATAATAAAAGTTTATTATTTGCGTATTTTTATTACATTATTATTTATAAATGAACTTGTGCATTACTGCATTATCATGATATCATGACTTGTATACCTAAAGAAACTAAGCAATTTTACTGCACTTTGATTAGTTAAAACTGGCTAAGTCGATAAAATTGACTAAGTTAATTTTTTCAAAAATCAGTTAACTAAGTCAACTTAGTTGATAAAATCGACTAAGCAAAAATTGACTACAAACACTATTAAAAACCTCTTATGTTGTGTATTATTTTTAATAACTTAGTATTCTTTTGGTTCTTTTTCTTTTTTTCTTTCTATTTCACTATTTCTATAAAACTTTGCAATATTTCATTTTAATCTTGTATTATAATAATTTTTTTTTCTTATAGTTATCTTAAGGTTTTTTTTATTTTAAAACACTAATACCATTTATTACTGGTTCTTATACAGATCAAATAAAGACATATCAATAGTTATATAACTGAAATAATATCAGAGAAATATTAGATAACTGATAGAAAATAGAAATTTTAAGTATAATTGTGAAAATATTAAAATGCTGATAGTAATATAGAATTGATCCTAAAAATACTAATATTTTTAAATACAACTTGTTAACAACTAAAATAATATTAAAAGAACTAATATAGCATTTTGCTTTTTATAATATTATTGTATTAATTTAATATTGTTTAATAATGAAAGACATATTTTTATTTTGAAAATACTACTAATATAGCTATAAGATTTTTACTATACTTTAAAATTATTTATAACATAGTTTAATATTTTTTTTTTTTGCTTTTGCTAAGGTTGTGATTATTGATAGCTATTGCCTTTATTGTATTTTAATTATAATTATATAACTTTTACAAAGTGAGTATACAACTAGCCATATATACAACTTTTAGTTGTTTATTTTAAGTAGTTTGTCTACATAGCAGTTTTATACTAATTGTCATATTTGCAATTTACTAGAAAATTATCTATTTAAACATTTTGATCTTTATACTTACATTGACAAATAGCACACAAGTTTCCATACACCTAAGTGCTATTTAACCTAATCTTGATTTTTCTTTTTATATAACTGTCAAGCTATTATATATTTTAAAGTATGTTACCTGACTGTAAGACTTTAGAAAACCCTTCTGCTAACTAATTATTCACATTTAATCTTTTTGTTAACAGAGCTTATCTTTGCAAAGTTCATCTAGATCCTAGCATTAAATTCATAGTATATTTCTAGTACTTATAGTATACCTTTGTTTTCAATCTTAGACTCTTAATCCAGATAGTCTAAAAGAACTATAATATGTTCTTGGTATCTAGAGTCTGTTCTTTTTCTTTGGTTTAAGACTTTTAGCCACCTAGTTGGTAGTACCTCTCACTCAAGTTTCTTGTTTATCTAATTCCTTCCATATTAATATTTGTTTTCTAAATCTAGCCTTTATAGTAATACTGTCAAAAATTTATACTACCTTTTTACTTAGGTCTTCTCAAGTGGGCTTTGGCTTTTTAGTTTACAGATTTACATAGTCACAAAGACTTATCTTAGGTTTGCATTACCTAATGCCAGTTTGCATTTCTTTGTGTAACTCCAATATTGCACAAATGCCTTATAACTTGTCAATCATACTAATGCAACTGTATTATAAATAGCTTATTTTAACTAATTAACAGAATGCTGTTGTTATAATATCATCTATATATTATATAGATAATTATACAAATTTTTGCTATTGGTAGATTTTAAATTTACTATCTACTATTTGGAAGATTGACAACTAATTCACTTCACTAAGTTGCTACACTTCCAGTTCAATATTTAAAAACAATTATTAAACATTTTGGCAAAATATCATTAATAATGAAAGTAAAATAAGTTTTATTATTATATATAAAATTTTCTATTAACTGATATTATTGACATATATTTTATTAGGGTTTTCTTTCTAATTTTAATAGTACTAAAAATGAATTGGCCTAAGATATTGTATACAGGAATTATATAATTTCTACTTATATTATAAAAATTCCAATTTTACAATTTAATATTATAAATATTATTTATTTGGCAATAATATCTAATTTTATAGTTATTAACTAGCTTGAACTAATATAAAAATGTCAATACATGCTTTTTTGAGCTATTAGGTAGGTGTATCATATATTTAAAATAGAATTAAACAATGCCAAGCTATACATTAATAGATTTATTATCTAATATAAATTTTGCTATTATTTTTACTAATTTTTTGTGTTTTGTTGCAGATATTGAAACAAAAATTTTATTATTAATTTTTAGTCTTTTATATTCTATTACTTTAGATAAAACCAGTATTAAGTTTGATATGCTAATATTTCTATTACTTAATAACTTAAAACTATAATTATAAGCATTATTATAATATTTAGTTAATAAAGCTAATAATTTATTTGAAAGCATTTTCTAATATTTTTAGATTCTAAAAAAGCATTTAAAAAAGGTTCATTTTTAGTTTCTAAACTTTTTTCAATGTTTGTAGACATTGATAAAAACTCCTAACATCAATTTTATTATTTATAAAAAATTTGCCAATTATTTTTTTTTTTGGTATTAAGGTAACCTCTTTGGTTTTTTGACTTTTATTAATCACTTATCGGTATTGTGGTTCAATGAACTACTACAGAAGAGCGTACAA